GCGCCGGTTCCGCGCGCTCTCTTGACGAGGGCAGGCGGACCACGATCTTGGTCCAGCTGGCCCGCCGAGGTGAGGCGCGGGTGTGGAGCTGACAGGGTGGGTTTGGCCAGCGGCCGGGGGCCACCTGCCTGCCATGCGAGAGGCCACGGCGCCGGGGTGCACATCCGCCCGGGGGATGCGGCTTGCCTCTTCCTCCTGGCCGGCCAGGAGGGAGGGGGGAGCGGGCGCAGCCGGGCGGGGGGCGACCCGCCTTACGTGGGGGCCCCCCGCGCGGCGGGCGCCGGACTCTGGCACCAACGTGGCCGGCAGGGGGGGGGGGGGGAACACCGGGGCCGATTGCTCCCCGGGGGGCGGGGGGCGACGGCGGCTGTGGAGACGATCTCCGCCCCGGGCGGGGGGCAGGACCTCCCACAGGCCCCAAGCCGCGTGGATTGCGGCGCGTTGCTGGTGCAGTCGTGCGCACGACCGTGCCCTCCGCCCGTGTGCCGGCGCGCGGCCAGGGGAGCAAGCGCGACCCTGCGAACCGACGTCTAGAGATTGCCCGGTCGAGGTCGAGGCGGGTCCATACACGGCGGGCTTGCTGCGAGAGACGTCCTGGCGAGAGTGCACGGGTGGGCTGGGCGGAGGGGGCCACGCCCGCGCCCTGGCCGATGGGGGGACCCCGGCCTGGCCGAGGACATTGTCCTGATGGCGACAGGAGGTCCCGGCATGCGGTGACGGCAGTAGTGTATGTGTGTGTGTGTGTGTGTGTGTGCAGTCGCACCGGGTGCGGCGCTTTCGGGCCACGCGCGACCCACAAGCGCGCCCGCGCGCGCGCCTCCATGGCCCCTCGCCTCCTCCTCGCCCTGCTCCTTGTTTCCGCCCACCCCGCCGTCGCAGGGGAGGGGGTTAAATGCCCCCGGCCCCGGCGTGGCCGCCCGCACGACAGGCCGCATTCATAGACAGAGCCACCCCCTCCCTCTCCATCCCCCCCCTCCCCCCCCCCCTCTCCGCTGCGTACGGCCTCCTCCTCGCCGACCGACGCACGCGCGTGTTCTCCCGCCCCCCTTCCCCGACACGCATCGGGCGGCTCCTCGACCGGACCCCCCCCCCAAAAAAAAAGAAGAAGAAAGAGCACACAAGAGAACGAGATCCCCCCTCCTCCCCTTGCTCCTCTCCCCCCGCCCTTCCCCACTTCCCCCTCTTGCCGCAATAGACAATGGCCCACGGGAGCACCTCCCACCCTGGGGTCCCCTCGCACCTGCACCATGCAGGCCACTTCGCTGGCGTGGACCCAAGCCATGAGCAGCTGTACGACGTGGACTTCGATGACGACCAGGAGTTCCACATCCATGGCGCCGGGTATGACTTCTCGCAGGACCGCTACGGCGCCGATGACGAAGACGACGATGACCCGAACCTGCCGCCGGTACTTGAGTCCCCCGGGCGGCTGTTCAACTCGGCGGCCGTGCTGGAGGAGACCAGCGCCGCGGCCCCCGGGGCCGCTCCCCGGTCAGGCTTCCTGGCCCGGCTGGGGCTCTCCTCCGCCAGCTCGGCCCATGGCATCGAGGATGAATCCAGCATCGCCCTGCAGCCGATCAAGCCCCGCGAAGCTGGCGGGAGGAGCACCGCCGGTGCCCTGGGCGGCAGCGGTGACGACGATGACGACGGCACCGGGATCCCTGGCCAGGGAGACATGCTGACCGACATCTCCGAGGACACGGTGTCCATCTGGAGGTGGAAGGATGTCTCCGAGGAAGCCATGATCCAAATACGCCTGGCCCTGCCCCTGGTGCTGTCCTTCATTCTGCAGATCAGCTTCTCCATGGTGCGTCCCCCCTTCATTCCCCCTCCTCCCCCCCTCCCTCCGGCTCTCCCCATATGTCCCGACTGACCAGAGACCATGTGGCATGCTCCCCTCCTCCCCCTCCTCCTCCTCCTCCTCCTCCTCCCTCCGGCTCTCGCCCCCGCTCCCGCTCCAGATGATGTTCATTGCCGTTGGCCAGACCAACACAGCCAAGGAGCTGGCCGGCGCCACCCTCGGCTACATGTACTGCAATGTGACCGGCGTGTCAATGGGCATGGGCATGGCCACGGCCATGGACACCCTCTGCTCGCAGGCCTATGGCCGGAATCCGAAGTCCCCGCTGGTGGGTGTCTTCCTTCAGCGTGCCGTGGTCATCATGCTGCTGGCCTGCATCCCCATGGCGATTCTTTGGTTCCTGGCCGAGCCGATCCTGATTGCTCTGTGGCAAGACCCGGAGATTGCCCACCTGGCTGGGCAGTTCTCTCGGCGCCTGCTCCCGGGCCTGCCCTTCTTCCTGGTGTTCGACTGCCTGCGTAAGTACCTCCAATGCCAGGGCAAGACCGTGCCGGCTTTCATTGCGCTGATCATCGGCACGGTCATCTGCGTGGCCGGCAACTTCGGTGGTATCACCGGGCTCGGGTGGGGCTTCCACGCGGCGCCCTGGGTTCTGGCTGCCACTTGGATGTCGCTGCCGGTGTCTCTGCTGATCATCATCTGGTTCGGTGGCCTGCACCGGGACACTTGGGGCGGCTGGTCGATTGAGGCCATGCGCGGCTGGGGCGAGTACTTCAAGCTGGCCCTGCCTGGCATGGCCATGTTCTGGTACGTCACCATGTGTGCCTTCGACCATCTACGGGGAGCTCGCTTGCCGCCCCTCCTCCCCCTCAATGAGCCATGCCGCGCGATGGGCGTGTGCCTCGGCATGCCACCACTGCCCCCTCCCGCCCGACCGCTGACCCCCTCCCCTCTGTTCTGTCCCCCCTCCCCTCTTCCCCAAACCCCGGCCGGCCGGCCGGCGCGCGCACAGCAACGAGGTGTGGGCCTTTGAGATCATGGCCCTGGCGGCCGGCGTCATCGGGCATGTCGAGCTGGCCACACAGTCGATCCTGCTGAACACCACCTCGGCCACCTTCATGATTCCCTTTGCGATCGGCATCTCGGCCAACACGCGCGTGGGCAATATGCTCGGCGCTGGACGTCCGATGCACGCACGTCACAGTGTCTACGTGTCGCTGATGATCGCCCTGACCATGGCCGTTGTCCTGGCCTCGCTCTTCTTCATTGTCCGGCCTTGGTGGGGTCGGCTGTTCATCGATGACCCGCAGGTCATTGAGCTTGTGCGCCAGGTGTTCGTCATTTGCGGTGCCTTCCAGCTGATGGATGGCATTCAGGCAGTGCGTGGCCACACATTTCGGCACATACCATGTCCTTGCGCGAGAGGAGGAGGAGGGGGGGGGGGGGTGCTTTCTCACACCTTGCACTTGTTCCCACATACTGACCATGTCCCCTGACACTTGTCGATGGCCGGTGCCCTCGTCCCCTTTTGTGTGCATGTGCATGCGTGGCGCCCTCGCAGGTCCTCGCGGGTATTCTGCGCGGTATTGGCAAGCAGACCCAGGGTGCCATCCTGAACTTTGTTGGCTACACTCTGCTTGGTTTGCCGCTGGGCTACGTCTTCTGCTTCGTCCTGGAGTGCGTGCCCCC